AAAACATATAATCTACCCATATGTAATGATTTCTCACAATAACATTTTGCCTCATTTTTTTTTCTGTTGCTGTGGACTCATGTAGGTTCCCAATCTTCTATAGTGTCAATTTTTGCCAGTAAAAATTAATCAGCTTCCCAATCATTCATGTTTATATTGCCTCTCTCGTGGGTTTATTTTCTTAAGAGGATTTATACTTAACTTTTTAAGTATTCGAGAAAGAAATGATTGTTAGTTTTCAAACAAGAACTATGTTAAATAAAATCTATGGATATGTATGGCTGATTTATGAATCTCCTTATCTCACGTGTTCCAACAACTCCATTAGGTCTGCATGGAAATTCTTAACACATACTTGACAAAAGCTTTTGAACAAAATGATGACAAGATCCCCTGGAGCAGTCTCAAGTATCTTATTGGTGAGGTGAGTGCCTACAGCGTCACTCAGGAACACTTGATGGTAAAAGAATCCAGATAAATGACACTTCCCTTTCCGCATGGGCAGTATCCTCAAGTAGACCTGGCTCAAGATCTCTCCTGGGCAACCTTGAAACTCCTGTGTAGCCCTGAGCAAGTCACTTAATCTCATTGTCTCAATGAAATTGGGCTAGTGTGTGTAACTGCACAACAGGGGAGTTATGATGCTTAATTAATTTTGAATGAGAGCGCCCTTGGGATCCTCTGCTGAAAGGTACTAAAGAGCACAACGTTACAGGGTTATTAGTCGAGTGGGGCATCGGTGATGAGAGAGCTGCACGGATGGATTTCTAAAGCTCTGGCAGTGCTGCGTGTGATTTGTGCTGTGTAGTTGCTGGCCAGGTCTGTGTAGCTGCTGTGACATGGAATCCTGTGAGGAACTGTTACTTTGCAGCACTTAATCACGGCCGAGCGTGAGCTGGTACCTGAGGAAGGTGCCGTTGCACTAAAACACCAAGATGGGTGATGAGGAGTGGCCACAGCAGCCAAATCCAGACTGAGTCCAGATACCTCCTGCTTGGTCCCCCTTGGGACACGCTTAGAGGAGATGTCCTTGGTACCCCGTAAGGGAGAGTGTTACATGGTGCAGTCACTGCGAAAGCAAAGAGTGTTTTCGACCTCTTGATGATTTTTAACTGTATTTGCTGCCCCAACAGCCCGTGCTATCATACTGATGTCACTGATTTCTAGGTGATGTATGGCGGGCGTGCAATCGATAGCTTTGATCGTCGCATTCTGACCGTCTATATGGATGAGTACCTCGGGGATTTCATATTTGACACATTCCAAGTGTTTCATTTTTATAAAAACGACACGGTTGATTATAAAATTCCACACGGGACTACAAAAGATGACTACGTTGGTAAGAAATGCTTTTCCTGCTATGTAAGTTAGCATTAAAAATAAGAAAAGTCTATTTACAGTATACATTCCATGTGTCCATTGCTGGGGATGAGAAGTTGAAAAGAACTTCAGGAACTGTGTGTGTTTTATTGCAGTGCTATAGCCCACTGCTGATGCTGCTCTTTATGCATGAGCTTTATGCATGAGCCTACCAGCTCCTCATTTCTTTAAAAAAGATATTAAGCCCCTCCCCCAGGTAAATGGCATGTTAATTTTGTTATTAAGTGATACATTTCCATGGGGGGTGGGGGTGGGGTGGGGTGTATTTCAGGCTTAAAAATGTTTGGTTGGTCCTCGCAGTGTTTCCAACCAGCTGTAGGTTTTTTGCAAGGAGAGCATTAACAAAAATCGCTCATGGAATTCTCTGCAGGCTTGGTTTCTGCCTGGTAGCTGTGGTTTAATATATCGCATCTTTAGGAAGCGTGTTCTTGCCTTGCAGAGGTGATAGAATCTCTGCCCCTTGCCAATACTCCGGAGGTGTTTGGCCTTCATGCCAACGCTGAGATCGGTTATTACACACAAGCAGTCCGTGATATATGGTCTCATCTTCTTGAGCTGCAGCCTCAAACAGGTGTGTTCTCCCGTGCTTGGAATTGGGTTTGTAAATAAGAAATCCTGAGGTGGCGAGCTCTCACTAAACCGTTTTGGTTTCAGGTGAAACTGGCGCAGGAATTAGTCGGGATGAATATATTGCAAATGTAGCTAAGGATATAGAAAACAAAATCCCGCCCGTGTTCAATCTTGACCAGATACGGAAAGGTTTTGGCCCAGAGATAACCCCTACGACCGTGGTGCTGCTGCAGGAGCTGGAACGCTTTAATAAGCTGATCGTTCGAATGGCAAAGTCGTTGGCTGAACTGCAACGTGTAAGTGAGAGTTCAGGTGGCTCCGAGAGGCCAGAGTCAGGTTCACCTGCCCCGGGCTGGCACTGAGACTCTCACCGTCCTTCCAGGCCCTGGCTGGGGAGGTTGGAATGAGCAGTGAACTGGATGACGTGGCTCGGGCTCTCTTTAACGGGCAGATTCCTGGCATCTGGCGGCGGTTAGCCCCCGACACGCTCAAAACACTTGCCAATTGGATTATTTTCTTTGGAGCACGGTACAACCAGTACACCAGCTGGGTGAGTGAGCCCCTCCAGAGAGGTTTGTTTTAATCTGCATGATTTGCTGTGCCAATTAGTGCAGAAATCAGTGAATACACCCTGCTTTAGACACGTTACTTCAACTAATGCCAGTCGCCACCTACAATAACGAATGATGGCACAAGTGTGGGTGCAAGATTGACTGGCCAGTGGTCAGTCTGTGAGCACTGGCCTCGGGGCTGGTGGGAGGTGTGGTGGCAGCAGCAGGTGCTGCAGGTTGTCTCTGTGATTGCAGGTTAACGAGCGGGAGCCGAAGGTGATGTGGCTCTCGGGCCTGCACATCCCAGAGTCTTACCTGACGGCTCTTGTTCAAGCCACCTGCAGGAGAAACAGGTGGCCCCTGGATCACTCCACCCTCTACACAGAGGTAACCACCTACAGGACTATAGAAGACATCACTGAAGGGTCTATTCAAGGTGAGTGTTTTTATGATTATTTGGCAAAAATAAGAAAGTAGGTAATTGGTGAGAGAAACTTCCAGGCGCACCGAGTAATGTACTGGGGTTGTACCTCTGCAGACAGCGCCCTTGGTTTTACACACCACAGGATTTCACACAGGCAATGGGGGGGTCTGGTTCCTGCTGAGCCCCCCCTGCCCCCCCCAAACCTGATCTTTCTTCAGCTCTTCTCACCCACAGGCACGGATTTGACCTTGCACCTCTCCCTTGCTCTCTCTCTATCTTTATATATATACGTTTTCCTTAATGGCTAGTACATTAGCCATTAGCTATAGAACTATAAACCTAGCAGGTTTATAAAGATCCATTTACACCACAAATAATATACTACGATATATTTAACCAAGCAGTATATACAAATGTGTATGATTTATTGTGTAAATATATCTTTATTAAATCTCTATGACTAGCAATGCTCTAATTACTAAATATGACAAACTGTGTGGAGGGGACAGCTGAGCGATGCTTCTGACCTGATTGGGAACAGAGGAGGTAAAAAGGGGGCTTTTACTCTACATTTAATCAAAATTATTGGTGTTTGTACCAGAACAACTCTATCCCAACCCTTCCCCTTTTGTCTGAATGATCTAAGGAGCAGTCCCACAGGAGGAGTTAAAAAGCTCTCTTGCAATTTGGCAATTAGCTGGGCAAGTAATTGGAGAGTGGCACCCGCTGGGGGGAAGAAAACTGCAAGCAACTTAGTATCTATTCCTAATGATGTTTATCGTGTGCAACTGAGCCAATTGTAATTTGAAAAAAAAAATATTCAAACATGATAGGTCACAGTTGTGTTATGAAACCAAGGACCACAGCTGAGAACACCTCCTTGTAGCTGAGTTCGAAATGTAGGGAGTTCTGTCACGACTGTCAGTGCCAAGAGCAGCTGTTGCAGGAACAGTTGTCTTAAATGGATGGTTCAGTAGCTCAGTTTACACACCGTGTTGCCTTTTGTGCCTGCGCAGGCTGTTTTGTTTCCGGCCTGTTTCTGGAAGGAGCGGACTGGGACACGGAGCAGAGCTGCCTCACCAGAAGCAAACCCGGGGTCCTGGTGGTGGAGTTACCCATCCTGAAGATCATCCCCATTGAAGTGCACAGGCTCAAACTCCAGGTATGGCTCCTCTGGGGACACTGTGGCCCGTGAGCTTAGGAACTGCCTTCTGGTTTTGCCACCAACAGCTGGTGGCCCCTTCCTGCCTAGCACAAGCACAGTCTATCACTACCAGCAGTATATACACCTCCTTGCATTAGCCATCACTAGAGTTTCTCTTTTCTAAGGTTTACACTCAAGGGTGTTAATAGATTTGCTGCCTCTTTTCAGTTCAGGCCAAATGGAACAGGCACCTTGGGACACTCTTATTTTCCCAGTACTCTCTTAATTATTTCCCATTACCAGTTAATGACATAAAGGATCTTTACATTTTCTAGATATCCGATCTTTAAGACTTAAAACAAAAACCAAAGTGAATTTCTGAAGACAGTCATCTCTCCCAGAGGCCCTTTTTGTGTCCAGTTTCATGCAGTACTTCAGGCACTACTCAGTGTCCTCCTTTCCCCCACGCTCTTTCAGAACACGCTGCGGACCCCGGTGTACACCACCTCCCAGAGACGGAACGCGATGGGCGTTGGCCTCGTTTTTGAAGCTGATCTTTACACGACAAAGCACATTTCCCACTGGGTCCTTCAAGGTGTTTGTCTCACCCTGAATGCAGACTGACAGCTTCAGCTCGGCACTAGAGCTTTTCCACAGAATCCCATGATTTTCTTTTAGGGGGCAAGGTAGGGGGAGAGGATCAAACTAGGCAGAGATTCACCCCGTGGGTGGGGTAGAGTTCACTGAGGCTGACTTCAATAGCATCACACAACCGAGGCAGTATGATCAATAAACACAGTTGAAAAGTGTTTTTCATAACTTGTACTTCCTTTTAGAAAAGGAGCTGGTGTCTCTGTGTGTGTGTATATATATATACATAAAAGAGGTAATAAGTTGATCTCGCACGCACAAAGACTAAGGTTTGCCTGAATGGTTGTAAGAAATGTTTTTAATTGCCCAAAGCATCACTTCTGCTGTGCTTAGAAGCGGTGCCTTCTGTCATCCTTGAACAAGTGGCAGGGTAGATCAGGCATACAATAGATCGCCATAAAAATATGGCAACAACAACCAGAAACCCAAACCCGCTGCTGGTTAATGCAAAACACTGAAAAATAGTAAACCACAGAACAACCCGCTTTCTTTAACCAACCATTTTCCAGGAACCCAGCTTTTCCCTATCCCTCCCCACCACTCGTGAACCAGACCCTACCACGCAGCCGGCACGGTGTAACACTGAGGGGTGTTTCGTGGGCATCAAACAGCGAGTGACTGAGGCTGCAGGAGGCCCCAGGGCTTGTGGCTGTTGGACCCTCTGTGCCCGGGACCAGCCCTGCTGTCAGGCTGCACAGGAAAAACGGAGCGGTACCAGCTGGAAAGAACAGCTTTTGTCATCCTGCCCGGGCCTGTGCGGGGAAAGAGTGACCCAAGGCTCCAGAGGGGGACACACAGCAACACGCAGCGGCAGGAGAAGCTGAAGAGGGGCAGACTACAGCTGGCAGGGGGAGAAGGAGGGCAGGCAGGGATCCGTCATCAGCTTTCACAGAGATTACGCGTTCCAAGTTTTTGAAGGCACATCAGAAGCTTAGCAGCATTTGGGAGCCATTGTTCCTTGCTGGTCCTACTCAGAGGCTGCAGGCAAGAGTGAAGCAGAGGTGAGCTGGAGGTGCTGATCAGAATTTAAGAAAAAAAACCAAAAAGTCAAATTTGTGCTCCTTTCCCAAAATTACATACTCTCACAGCTCTCAGTATGCCTTTCTTTCCTAGGAAAAAAATTTTTTAAAAAAAATAAAATATCAAGTAGTCTAAGAGATGCAGGGCCTACCTGTTGCTCACTAGAAAGGAGTAGGGGAACCAGGGCAAGTGCAAGGCGAATCCGTCCCAAATCCACAGGGATAAAAATCAAGGATGCCAGGTTCTCCTCCTGTATGAGTTGGTTACATCAGTTAAATTTTAAACTAAATACAGACATTTTAGAGGGACAGCTCAGGTTTCTAAGCTGGTAGAAGCCAGCACTGCGTGATGATGCTCAGAACAAGTCTAAGGTTTTCAGGAAACATAAATAATCCCTTTACAAAAAAGTGCAGGTTAGAGCATAAAGACCCATTTCCACATCAGACAGCCAGTTACATTTTCTCCCTGGAAAAGGAGCTCTGAGCCAGTATCGAAGGTGCTACAAGTGCAGTGTACTGACTGCTGTACAACTGTAACAACAAAGCCATTCAATTAAATAAAAAAAACCCAAAACAAAACAACCCTAAACAATCCAGTGTTCATACTTTTTCTGTTAGGATCATTAACCCTTTTAAAGAGTGCTTCAGTGTCATGTTCCTCCCCCCCCCCCCCTTTTTTTTTTTTTTTTTTTAATACCTTTCCAGGATTTTTCCTCCTCTTCTTCCACCTGTGTGCCTAGGAGTGTTTAGAGTCCAGACCTAAATAAACCCATAGTAAAGGTTAATTATTCTTCAGTTCATTATGCTTCTGTGAGCTTTTAATGATTAATTTTTGCATTAGAATATTGCAATTAAGTTTCATGTAAAAACAGGACATTTCAATATATTAAAGATCCCCCCCCCCCCCCCCTTTTTTCTTTTTACTTAAAGCCACAAACCAAAGTATTCAGGATTAATCAAGTAATGCTTGCTGGGGCTCTCAGGATTTTGAGAAACTATGAACACAATTTGCCATCGAGAGCATGTGCACGTGAAGGAAAAGACATCCTTAGTCCCCGTTACAGTGTACCTACAGCTGCAGAATTGTCAACGCTGCTGTGAGAAAGGCGTAGGGTTTGTGTATGAAGTGCTTACGTACACAGTGAAGACAAAAGAACCACTGGTACTTCAAACGCTAACAGCCAATACATGTCGCTGCAGGTTTATAGTTAAGTTTGTTTTCACTAATATGGATTAATAACGCAGCCTGCAGCCCGTGCCTTTGTCCACACGTGTAGTTACAATAAATGGAGCAGTGCTCAGAAGCAAGCAGTCAGGTACCCCTGATTTGGCCACAGCATTTAGTAGTTATATACCTTGCCATATGAACACAGTCATATTAGGTTTCATTAGAGGAGCATAATCTATTAATGATGTATCTGGAAGAAGTTTGGCATGCATGGGGCATCAAAAGAAACTTTACTGCAGGTGCTATTTATCCTACAGGATCACAGTGCATAAACAGCAACAGAGTAGAGCATTTCAGTGATTTTACTCAAACAGTTCTGTCTGTCCCTGAGTGCTTTCTGACCACTTTGCTTCCATGGACCTGATCCACCGCCAGCGTTTCCACCTCTGGCTGCGGCTGGGACGGGGCGACGTGGTGGATGCGATGGGCCACCCCGATGTGCGCCTTGTGGGGCTTCTCTCGGGCCGGGCTGTGCGATTCGCCGGACGCACGATCTGAAGCGATAGGTGGGATAACTAACGGCCTCTCCTTAATGAGATGTACCTCTGCCGTTTCCCTGGCCAGCAGAAAGGGAGTGGGATCAGGCATGGCATCCACAGGCTCCCTCAGCAGCAGCTTCCGGCTCTCCGATCCTATTCTGTAGGCCTCTTCAAACTCGGGGTTGAGTGGTGTCGACAGACTCTTCTTCATCCTGCGCCGGGGAGTCTCCGGCAGTTTATCTTTGGGAGGGGACGGCTTGTAGTTGGACAGGACGGGACTGCCAGAAGGGGTCCCCTCCGAAGTCCCACTGGAACTCATCAGCTTCTTCTTAGTAGCGTGCAGCTGAGAAGTTAAATAAGCGATAGTGCTCGCTCTCTGCTCTAGTTCACTTGACAACATATTGAGCTTATGGCTTTTCATTTTCAACTCTTCCAAATACTTCTTTTCTCTTTCTTTAATAGTGTTTTCCAGCACCATTATCATCGCATTCTTTTGTTCAAGTTCTTTCAATAATTCATTATTTTCAGCCTCTTTGACTTTCAGCTGAGCTTCGAGATCTTCACACTTTCTTTTGAGTTCGTCACTTCTTGAACTACCATTTCCTACAAGAACAGGAAAAGCACAAGTGTTCCAAGTTAACAATAGCCCCTAATTAAAACAGTGCAATAGGGTTCCTTTGCAATATCAAGAAATAATGCTGAGCACGTGCAAAGTTGCTCCATTGATTTGCTAAATTTGCCCGTGTTCTCTCTCATCAGCAACACCCGTCCTGTCCCACACTATCCCTGATCCAGGAGGTTACTTCCACGGAATATTTTATTCCTGTGCTTCACCTGTTGATAACAGAATATATCTAAAATAACTGGGATCTAGCATATCTATTTAGATAAATAAAAGCTCTGTGGTGTGATTACAGTACCAGCTAAGTTTTAATAATACTTTCACTCTTCTGCCCCTAAAATTCATGTTCCCTGTTCCTATAGAACAGGCAGGGAACCGATTGCTTGGTAAGAGAGAGGAGTCAGCAGTTCTGTGCTCTATTCCTGGCTCCTTCCTGTGTGACCTTGTTAAGAACTTGTGACATTTACTTCATAAATAACACCAAGTCTGGAAAGGAGAAAACTACTCCTGTACCTTTTGAATTTACAAAGTCAACATCTCAAGTGCAGGGTATTCTCACCTACTGGTAATGGAGAAAACACAAACATTGAAAAAGCTGAGGAAGCTTAACACGAAAAGAAAAATGCTTTGTGTTCCTTACCTGACAAGTCTGAACTCTTTACAGTCAGCTCATAGGTTAAATCTGAGGAAAAAAGTTGTTTATTTTTTGTTAGAACAACATCATCTACCCCAGACCCCACCTGGTCAGCATGTTTACAATGACATACTTCAATAAAACAATAAAAATATACCTCTTCCCCCCACCCAAAGCAACAATAGGAGGTCCATGGCAAGTTACCAAATGTGTGAAACAACTGGAACTATCAGGTGAGACATTGCTTTTTTTTAAATTAAAAACAAGAAAGAAAAATCTTTGCTTAATGATCATGCAGTTGTGCCCTGAGACCTGTGCTGATCACCCTGAATATACCCCGGTGGTGGGCTTTGCTGCCGAGGTCTCACTGCTGAACTGGGAAGGGGCTACTCCATTCCTGGGAAAATAATTAAGCACAGAACTGGCAGCGACACCCTCCCCCGGCTACCTGTGCAGTGCTGCTGCAGGCGCCGGATCTCCGCGTGCAGGCCTTTCAGTGTGTTGGCATGTTCTCGCTGGAGAAACAACAGATTCTTCTGGGCGCTCTGCAGCTGGTTCTCCAGGTTTGACGTTGCCATCCTGACCCGCGGTCACCCTGTCAGTGAACACAGGTAGAATTGTAGCAGTCGGTTATCGCGCACATCCAGAGATCCTCACTCTACAGCCAGGATCAGCAGGAACAGCTGAATGCTACTATTAATGAATCGATACGCAATCAAAGGCCACAAGAAGTTTTTCTGTTTCACAACTATTTCATTTAGAAGTGCTCTAAGTTCATAGAAAGCCTAATTATACTCTAGGCCAGAGCAGCGTAGGGAACTCATTTGTTTGGAGTTAACACATTTAAAGGATTAATTTCAGACAGACTAAGTCACTAATCCTGTTACAAGACAAAAGCGGAGTTCTGAGAAATGGGCCAGTGTGTCCCTCTGTCTTGTTGGGGGTTTTCTGCCTACCTCCAGGGGTACAGGAGTTTGTAACGTCCCTGGACAAGAACAAGGAAGAAAGCACTGGAATGTGCCATCTCCAAAGAGAAATGTGACACAGGGAGTGTGACACACAGCCGGGCCCAGCAGCACCACTGTGGATGAGGTGTGCTCGCTGGGACCCGCAGGAGAGCAGCTCTGGCTGCTGCTGTGTCTCCTCAGCCCCAGAGCAGGATCCCGTACCTGCTGCAGGCCCCACGGCGCTGGAGAATGGCTCCACTGGGCCCAAGGACATGGAACAGACAATTGACAAGGACAATGTTTCATTTAAATGGAAAACAAACTGATTTTTCTTGCTCGGGTTATGAGTACATGGAAAACTGTTAACACTGCTGGGTTTTCCTTGCCAACAGCCTTATAAAACCAGGCCTTGGCAGCAGCAGTGCTGGGACTCAAACGAAGATGGAGCTGGTTCACCATCCGGTGCTGAGCAGCACCCCTGAAGAGCCCTGCACTGACAGTGTTACCGCTGCTCCTGATGAGGCAGCAATGGCTTTCCGTGTACCCGCAGGCCAAACGCCCGGGACACAGCTGTCTGGTGGAGCTGGATACAGACTCCCAAATGAATTCCCTGGTAGAGAGGTAAAAATAGCTCCTCGCACCAGGCACAGCCAGATGCTTTCCTGAGGAGAAGCACACGCTGTGCCCAGGTCTCTCTTCTGTGACATTTAAAGGAGCACCTGGAGGAGCATCCAGAGAAGCACAGAGGACTCACCAGGTCCCAGTGATATCTAGCCACCAAGTTCTGTCACGACACAATTTTGTTTATTGTCCTGTTTCCTAGTGAAATTTCAACTCTAAAATAAGTATACTAATGAGAAAAAGCAACAGTGACAGCATGCAATCCTCCTGCAGCCTCAAAGCACAAAATCACTCAGATGTGCTTTTGGTAGTTCTTGAATTTCGCTGTGTGATCGTTACCCCTCTCTGCACACAGAGAACCTGCTGCTACAGCCAGGGCGCGTGGTGCTGCTCCATCCATGGTGAGTTTAGAGAGGCTGCTGGGTCTACACGAGAAGAACTTTCTAGAAATATATGTCCTTAAAAACTCCACATTACTACACTTTAGCAAAAAAAGCTGTGATACTTGGGAAGCTTTCTGAAAGCTCTGGGAAGCCAGCCTTCTTCTCAGGCAGCTGAGGAGCACAGTGACAGCACAAAAAGGGGTGCACAGACAAATGCTAGAGAGCCAGGCTCCCGGGGACACTGCAGTGCCAGGCAGTAGCACACACTGGGTGGGAATTACACAAGCCCTAGTGGGAGAAATGGTTTCTGGGGGACAGGGAACTCACCCCAGGAGCGAGAAGGAAGGTTTGTCCCCGTGCACAGCTGAGCATCTGGCCTGTTGGGGCTGGGAGCCACAGCAGCCTCTCCTGCCACCAGGTAACCCAGCCCCGGAGGCGGGAGGCTGATGAAGCGGTTACGAGCCTGGGTTAAACGCTGCTGGTGCAGGAGGAGCATTAGCTTTGTCATTACAGTAGTAAATTCAGTTATCTCTGTAGTTGTGTAAAAACAATTATAGTATTTAGGTTACAAAGATAAGTAAAGAATCAGGACTCCCGTTGCCCAGACAACCATCTGCAACGGCATTACAACCACGGCTGTAATTACGGGCCCTCATGCTATGCTTAAGATAGACCTTAATTCTGCCCCGTGGCTGCCTCACAAGGTTCGTCTTGTCATCTCAAGTGTTCTCCATTGGGCTCTTTTTGCTATATAGGTTTATGACAAAAATTGGTTCTACAAGTTTAGAATTGGTAGAACATATACTCAGAGAAAGCAACACACTTTCGTCGCTCCTAAATATAACCCAGCCCTGCATTCAATTTTATACTTTTTACTCTCACAAAGAACAGCAGACTCTGCTCCTGCGCCTTGGTAAAACAGCTGGGGGGAGAGGAGGGGGACAAATAAATGCACACAGAGAGCCTTCCTGATTTCATGTGTGACCTTACCTGACATCATCATCAATGGACTTATCCTCAGAGAAGCATGTATTTGTAAAAAAAATTAATAAAGTGAAGGGGTAAAAGCCTTTGAAAGAATCCACTTCCGTGCAAGGGGCAACACAGAGCTTTTGGTTACTTTGTAACAGAGATCAAAGATTAAATTCAGTGCTCAAGAAGAATGAGGGTAACGGTGCCAGCCTGTGCTTTGGTGAGTGGAACCGCTCATTTCGCAATCACCATCACTAGCAAACAAGCAAAAATTATGACCAAAAATATTCTGAAAAGAGGTTTCTGGGTTGGCTAAATAAGAAATGAGTTAAACCGAGTTGTGTGTACAGGCTTTTCCCCTACGACTTCCAAAGAGCAGCTTATCTGAGCCGTGAGTGGTTTCTGCAGAGGGAGCAGAGGCCCCGGGACCCGGGGAGACTCCCACGGTGGTACCCCCCTCCTCCCACTGCCTCAGAGCGGACCCTAAGGGGGACTACACGGTCCGTAGCAGTCACTGTGGGCACCATTATACTTCTAAGGATTAATGATATTTTAGCTGTGTTACATTTTCAAAGCGCCATCATCTTGCTGGCAAAGCTGACTTCAGACAGACAGAAGCCTCACTGATTCATCCAATTTCTTAAGTGATCATACTCTTAACGACCGAATATGACAGCAGAATAAATCCTGCAGAGCCCATGCCCCCCACCGACGCTGGAGCTCAGGCCGATGGCACACCAGGGCTCAGGAGGGATTTTTTAATCAAGAAATGTATTTTCCAAAAGAAACTCTTAAGCTCTGACAGTGCTAAGGGAAAGAACAGCCTACACGTAATATCCCAAAGCCTTAACTCTGACAATGGTTACTAAGGGTGGCTTTATGCCCGTAACTACCATCTGAACAGAAAAAGACTTCAGAAACAGTGTTCATAGCTCAGTCCTTGCAAATAAATGTGGTCTTAAAAAGCCGGTTTCTAAATGTTAGAAAAAGCAAAACAAGGCGGTCACTATTAACCCCCTCCATTGTTTTTCCACCTTGATCTCTTCCATCTTAAAGATCACACTGCAATTACCTTCTCTGAAGAAACAAACAATAAGCAGAGGTAGGCTACTTTTATAGGCTTGGGAAGAAAATAACATTACCTGCACCAGAGCATCATCTCCCCTGCAGCACGGGTAAGTTAATCAGCGAGAGCAATTAAATCAGCTCAGTATGAATTTTAGGTGCAGCCCTCTGAGAATAAAGTATCAGAGGGCTGACTTTCCCACAAGCCTTCTGCAACCTTCCCGTGCTCCTCTTCCTCACTCGGAGAAAATATTTATCTTTCTAGAATAATATCAAATTGTTTTATGCCCCTAGAGCTAATACAACTCAATTTGACACAAAAAGATTGAAAATATGGATAGGGTCTATAGTAAGTTAGGCCAACAACCGAGCCAATTCATTTGGTGTTGGGGAAGTTCACCAAACAGACCATTTCTGAAGATCAGATACCTGGGGTTAAAAGGAGGGAAAAACCCTCTCAGCATGACCATTGTTCTGCTTTTGGCCCAGATAAGAGAAGTCTCTCCAGACACCTGAATAAAGATTACCTTAAAGAGCCTGGAGACACCACGGGTATTTTGTAAAGGGACAGAACCTGTCCCTTTAGAGAAGCAGACAGTCCTGGATGCTCACATCCACGGTGCTTCTGCAGGACAGGGCAAGAGGGGACATTACTTGCTTCAACAGAGACTTGGCGCTAAAAGTTGTTCAAACTATAACAATTAGGTAAGACTACACCCTTAAAAAAATCCACCTAAATCATGTATTTAAATTTAAAGCAGCAGGAAAATATGCTCATTTATGCCTGGGAGTGATCTGCATACAGCTTGCATACAGTTTTGAATAATTATTAAATACTTGAACAATTGGATTATTAAAACACTAAAGCAGTTTTGAATAATTATTAAATGCTTGAACAATTGGATTATTAAAACACTAAAGGCGTTAATTTCTGTTTTACCCACTTAGAGCCAGTTTGCATATTTTGTACATTTCATAACATCTTACAACTGATCAACTGCCTTGTTTATGCAGGTTGTGTAAAGATCAAAGGACACCAGGCAAAAATATAAATTAATTCTTAAAGCCAGAAACATTGACAACTGTCACAAAGTTAAACCACGCATTGAAACTTGAAAAACCTGTTATAAACTAACAGGAACCCTTTAATTCTGCATTCTCACCATTAGCGAAAGCCACTGTGGTATGAAAACTACATAAAACATTTTATTTAATCTCAGTCTCGAATTTGACAGCAGCTCATAGGATACAATGCAAGCGAGACCTACTGACCCATGCAATCTCAGTCAGAAAGTTTTTTTAAAATGGGATGGACTTAGAAGATGTAATGAAAAAGAAACAAGTATACTAAAAAAGAATTAATAGTTTCTTTTAATACAAATCAGTGAACATTTTCCTGCCGCTTTGCTATGCAGATGCTTTGACTGAGTTCCAGGGAGTTTGGTTAGTGGGATTTACAGCTACTCCAAGTTCCCTAACAATTCTTAACCTGCTGTTTGTTGGTGTGTCGCACTCAGCCGCAAATCACACCCAACAGCTGCTCTCACAGGCAGCTGAGGTTTTACAGAAAACATGGTCTTGGGAGCGGTCAGTCTAAAGACAAACAA